AGTTACCAATATATTTTTGAGGTCTATTTGAGGTACCCTATACCTTAATTTTACAAGGAATATGGAACCATAATATTGGTAATTACTTAGGCCCTAAACCCTAAATAGTAGTTTCCATTTTCTTTTCCAGTACTACTGGGGTACCTAGTTAGAGAGCCCCATGATGCCTCCACGATGATTTTGTCGCCCGTCTGCAGGAGAAGCCGCGACAAGCGCGAGCAAGAGCCTGGGTCTAAGGTTCAGGCCTAAGGGTACACTAGACAATAATCATATACTTTGGGAGTCTCAGACACTGAATCGTTATTAAGGTTTGGGGGGTAATTATGTACTTTGGAGCCTTAGGGTTAGGGTTTGTGGAGCTTGGAATAACCGTCACCGTATCCGATATTTATGTTCTAGAGGTACCCTGCAGGGCTCTTATCATATGCCTCAAAAGGCTGAGCGACCACATCCGCCACCCGCTTAAAGGTTTTGGGCTTTGGTTTCCGGATGAGGGTGCGCAGTTGGAACACTCCGCCCCACTAAGACAGAGCCCGAAAACCGGATCTCTATAAATAATGCAGTCCATTTCAACAACTGGGTTGCTGCTAAGGAACTTGAATTCAGTTACTATTGCGTGGGTGTAGAGTGTGAATAATAGGCTTTCCTCATTAACGTTACGTAATTCACATTCCCCAACAGCAGCCCAGCTTAAACAAAGCTGCATTTCCGGTTTGGGGCATTTGGGCTTCTTCCTGGGCCGTAGAAAGCGGGGTTGTTAGATTTAGGTTTAAGGTTTAGGGATTGTTTTTTGGCTGCAGGTTTTTAGGCTAGAGTTTAGGGTTCTACCAAGAGATGCAGCTGACCCTGTAGGCACCTGTATAGTCGCCAATATACCCCAATGGATTTCGAAATCTATTCGAACTACCCTCTACCAGGAATGTGTCACCCTGCACCCTAAACCATGATTATTCAGGCGACGGTATCTCTTCTAAGGAGCCCAACAACAGTGTGTGGACACCGCTTCAACTTGTTTCAACCCCTGGGCCGTAAGCCCCCTTTAAGGGTTTAGGCTTTAAGGGTTTGACTTATAGGTTTAGGGGTTTAGGATTTAGGTTGGTTGGTAGGGTTCCGGGGCTAAGGGTTAAATCAGGGTTTTAAGGGTTACAGTACTCAAAACACCCAGCCCAATGAACTGACCGGGTCTAGGGCTTTTGCCGGACAAGCGCAGCAGGTGCGCACGCTTTTCTCAGAAACCAGCGATGGGGTTCACAGCACTCAGGCTTCAGCGTTTTCTGGAACGCCAATCTAGGCGAGATGGATTGCTACTGCACCACCTCATCGTCGGCAACGGCCACCGTACGCGCAAAGTAGCCACAGTAGCCGAAGCATCCAGATCTTTTTTTTCAAAGTCAACGATTTCGGCAGGGTCCGCAAGATTCATTTTAAGGCGATTTGGGGTCGACTTGGGGCGCGACCACAACGTCGCGGGAGAGGTCTGAAAGATCAATTTAATGCGATTCGAAGATCTTCTGTTTCAAAATCTGTGATTTCGGGAGGGCCCGGAAAACTACTTTAAAAGCGACTGAAAAAGGTGTGCACGACCGAAATGTTGCGGTCTGGAAAATCAGTTTACAGGCGATTCGAAAATCTTTTTCTTCAAAATCAACGATTTCGGGTAGGCCCAGAACATTCACTCAAAAGCGATTTGGGGTCGACTTGGGGCGCGACCGAAAGGTTTGAGGGTTACTCAAAACACCCAGCCCCATACACTGACAGCCCTAATATCGCGATGAAAAAACCTTGAAAGCAGACATTTCGGGCCCTTTGTTCTGATAGTCATGTTAAACTTTAGGAGCTTTGCATAGGGAACACTGACACCATTTCCAAAGATGACCCTAGCAAAGTAGTGAATGAAAGCTACATTAATCCCAAAACCCTAAATTTCAAGGACTAAAGCCCAAACTTCTACACCCTGAAACACTGAACCGCGAAAAACCCAAACTCCTAAACGCCAAACCTTTACACCCTAAACCCTAAAACCCAAACTCCTAGACCCAAAGTCTTAAACCCTTAAACCATAAACCTTTAAACTCCTAAACTTAAGCCCTAGAAACCCTAAATCCTAAAACCCAAAGTCCTAAACCTTTTAGCCCTAAGCCCTGAACCTTAAACCCTATATAACTCCCACTATAGTACTTTCTTTCCATTTTCTTTTCCATTATCCCTATATAACCCCTATAACCCTACACCCTGAACCCTGAACCCTTAACCAAGGGGCTGAACTTCTGAAGCACAACCTCGTAGGCTGTCTCCTCCTTGGCCAACACTTCGGTACTTAAGAGGTCCCAATGGACTTAGTTTAAAAAAAAAAAAAAAAAAAAAAAAAAAAAAAAAAAAAAAAAAAAAAAAAAAAAAAAAAAAAAAAAAAAAAAAAAAAAAAAAAAAAACCCCTAAACCTTTCATGTTTCCCACAGGTCCTCAAAACCCTCAACCCTAACGACTCCCAAGCTAAATCCAAAAGACCCCCGAAGGTCAAAACCCTAAGCCATCCTAAGCCCTAAGCCGTATGAAGCCTACCTGCGATCTCAGAATCCGTCGTTCGCGTGAAGGTCCACGGCGCGCTCGTGTGGAGCGCCCTCAGAATCCGATCGCCCGACGGCGCTCCAACGTGGAGCGTCCTCCAATCTGCACTCCCGCATGGAGCGTCGCCAGAATCCAATGAAAGAGATCAAAAGATCTAAATGACCGCTGGAAGCTTAGATACGGTGATGGTCGAGCTGATCCGCCATCCTGAGCCATTACGTGTTTCGGCCTGATCCTATTCGGTGCTCGGATACTGATCCGTTGCGTGTCTCAAGCTGATCCAGTTGGCTGATCCGTTACCCGACACCGTTACGCGCCACCTCAGATCTGATACCTGCAGCTTCCAAAGCATGATAACGGGCAGGCTTCTGGTACTTACGCATGAGGCATCACTAAACGGACTAAAGTCTACAGGATGTTTTGAGCTTGAGGCAGGCCGTCCCTCTTGCATAGGTCACCTACCCTTCCTTGGGGACCCGTAACCATTCATCTGTTTGTATCTCTACGGTTCTGAGGTCCAAGCAACATCCGCCTCAACAGTGAACTTGTCCGGGTTCTTCTCGACAACTGCACGGATTTGTTGCGTGTCCTGTAATGCAGGCGCAGAGCTTGTGTTGCTCTGTTAGGAATGCACTTGAAACATGTGCAGATGAGAGTTGTCCCTTGGCTTTGGCTCCCTGGTTGCTAAGGCTGGCGCGGCTGGTGGGTTGAAGGATTGGCTGATCTGCCTCATGAAACATCCAAGAGCAATCCTGCCCGCAAGGGCGACGGAGGGCAATGCCCAGATGCCCCCTCACTCTTAGCTCAAAACCTGAAGGTGGCAAAGTCGTTCTGAAGGCAGAGCACCAGGACCCGCACAGGTGACCAATGCACTTCTCACTCACAGTCCCCTCCGTCCCCTGGCCTCTGTGGAGATCAAGAACGCTGCAATCTCATGAGCTTCACGCGCCTGGTAAGGGACCAGGAAGGGGCACCCGAGCTCTGCCTTCTACCTAACACCCGGCCTTCAGCTGCTTCCGCCTGGTTAGAATAATGCGATTCTGCTCCTGCGCGGTCTACAAGTCCAGCTGTGCACAAAGTGCTCCTGGAGTGCTCTGCTGCAGTTTGACTGCGACCCAAAACTCCTTTTTGGGCCACCCTCGGGCCGAGTTAACATTGTCGTGAAAGGTTAAAGTTGTCAGCTGGACCTTGTCCAACAATTATCCGGCTGCCTGGCCGAAATTGACACGGGCTCTTCAAGCCCTTCAAGTCCAGGGCATCTGTGAGGATGTAATCGAGGCCTCGTCATCTATTCCGGGCGAATACCGCAAGTCAGGTCGCCACCAGCCCAGGACTTCACTTGCTGCTCATCCTTGTAACTCGAGCAAACAGAAAGCATGGAATCGAGGGAGGTTCTATGCGAGTACACTCTGAACAACAAGGAGTGGCATCTGAGGAGCAAGTTGCCAAGCGAGCCAGAAATTCTCGGCTACTGCAGATTCGCAGCAACGGCAAAAGCTATCCACCGCTGTGAATTTGCATGATGTGAACCCTGCAGTTCATGCGGAATGCATTTCCTGCAGCTGCACAAAAGAGCGTTTGCGTAAGCAAAACTTGGACTGACAGCTTCAACTTGCGGCAGCTGACCACTCGCGCATTCTCAGCAATAGAGAGCTGAATGATCCGTAAGCTGCGTAAAGACCAGATCCTAAGGGCATCAGTCCGATGCATTCCAGAGAAATTGGGGGCTGGTCTACATCTGGAGTTGGGCTGAGCTTCACAGAAGTGGATGTACGAGTCTTGGTACCTGCATGGGAAGGTGTGATTCAGAACAGCCCAAGGTGAATTATTATGGCTGCTGACAGCCCTTGCGCCCCGCTCGATGGAACTTGCCTTCAGATGAGAACCACTGATGCCCAATCTGCACATGGAGTATGACGGCATGAATCTGCTGAACATTATATGCGCAGGAGAAGTCCCTTCTACAAGTTCTACGAGCGGAGACCTTCTTCCGGTACCGGGCATCAGCCGGACGGGAATTAGGCGCCCACCTGGTACTTGGTACCAAGTGACAATGCCTGGACGAGTGGACCATCTATCCATCAGCATCCAGCACAGGAGTGGCACGCAACATCTTCGGTCGCACTTCTGCTCTGCCTCCTTGTTACTTCTGGGGGAATGTCTAAGGAAACCCTCTGCTAGTTTTCGAAATCCCTCCGCAGACTTGGACCTCTTCTACTTTCAAAGACGCTGAGCAGCCCTCAGCTATGATCCGAGCTACTGCATCGAAGAATCACTGAAACCAACCGCAGGGGAAGGCCGGGATCTCGGGGAAGGAGCACAGGCTCTCACCGCCTGCCTTGCCTGAGATGCAGAGCTTTAAAGTCATGTGCAAGGCATGCTATCCTACGATTCTGCACTCCTACAATGCAGAGAGGACATTTCAGCGCTGTCTTTTACCGCCGCCGGAAGATTTGCAAGCAATCCAGGAACAAGGGCCACCTGGGCAACTCGATCGTCTGAGCCAGACAGAAGTCCCTTTCAACTGCTTCCTGAAAGTCAACGGAAAAGGATTGGCCGTGACCCTTGATGCCAGGCGCATAGGATCCGAAAGTACTCGTCTGCCACTCACCCACAAGGATCAGCTCACGTCCCTCGTAGGCCCGCAGGCACTCAAGGCCAAATGTGCCAAGGCCCAGATAGTCGGGCCACATCAAGACCAGAGTCCTGTCTGGATGCTGCTTCACCACCTCTGGGCCCCCTGGAAGCACCTCGCAGAAAGCTTCCTGAGACTCACCGGCTGCCGCAGCAGCATTGAACTTAGGGTCGATGGCTGAGTCATAGGCCAAGACATCCACGGACCGCTGCCTCAACAAGGCTGCCCAGTAGCCTGAACCAGCACCAACCTCCAACAAAGGCTGCCGGCCTGAAAGAGCCTGCAAGGCTTCAGTGGTAGGCACGCTCCACGCGAATTTCTGACGGATGGAAATTTGCTCTGCGCCCATGGAGCTCAGCTCATCCGGCACAATGGCTTCTGCGTGCATCCACTGGGACAGGAGCCTCAAAGCGCTTTCAGATCACGTGTTGACACGGAACCTTGCTGATTCACGACATCTGCCACATTACCTGAAACCTGACTTCCCTGAACTGCCAAGCCGAAAAGCCAAGAGCCCCAGAGCCGCAGCTTTTGCACGTAGAGTGCTGAGTACTCGGAAGCGTCCTCATCCCAAACCTCTGGTTGACGCATCGTCTCGCCCTTCAACTCCAAGGGCCATGTGGTGGTGGCCAATCGAAGCCGTTCAAGCCCAACTGTGTCTGGACAAAGGAGGCCAACTACCCAGAGGTTGATAAGGTGGCAGGACTGCAGCAAATGGGGAGCAGGAAGCCGGTCGAAAAGGTTCTTGCTGAGGCTGGCTACAGAAGCCACCTGGGCTCTAAGCTGATCGACAGCAGCCAAGAGGCTGCCGTATGCCCAGCTACACTTCTCCGCAGTCGTCACACTGCGTAATGCACCACGAACACACGCCAGCTGCAGTCGCTCCACCTCTGCAGCTGCCCTTTGCAGAACTTCACGTTCTCCACATCGCTGGAGCAGTGCTAACCGCCGCCTTTGCGGGAGCGGCCCAGAGAGCTCCTGGCGGTCCTCCTCGTCACTGCCACGCAGCTCAGAGGTTTTGCCGTTTAGGAGCATCGAGATCAGAAGCAGGCTTCGCATCTCGTCTTTGGCTTTAAGGAGTCCATTTATGCAAGATGCAGACGCTGAGGGGAGTGGGTCTCCTTGCAGGTGCTGGGCACGGACCATCCCCACGAAAGCACGTGGAAGTGGGTCTTTCAGGTTCAGCGTGTGCCGGACGATAAGCTCCTCCGCATCACAGAAAGGGCTGTTCGGGCGGTGCAGCACCTGATGGCAGCCAGAGTCGCAGGCATCAAGAAGCCGCTCGTGCCTGGTCATTTTTGAGATTCCCAAAACCCTGCCAGAAACCTCTGAGAGACCCTCCCTCTCCCTGCACTCCGAAGGCCTGAAATCGGCCAAGCCACACAGCCAGCTTGGCTGGAGAGACCTGGAGGGAGAGTGTGATCTCAGAGCTTTGAAGAATCTCCTCCTGAAGGAGGAAACCGAAGGACAGAAACATCTGGCTGTTGAACATGGGGTGGGCATAATTGATGAAGGCTTGATCACCGGCTGCTAGTCGCGCTCCTGCCCTGACCACTACTACATTGCGGGTAGCATCCAGCTTGAAGAGCCCAGGTGCCATCGATGGAGAATGATTGAACATATCAAGGCCCGGCACTATGGCGAAGAGCGCGCTGCTCTCATTAACGCTTAGGGACATGACCCTTGAGGAGTAAATGCTCCAGGCCCACTGATAGCTTGCAAAGTTGATGCTGGAGGTCTGCGCGAACTCACTTGAACTCAGCTTCTGCTCGAGCCGAGAGAAATCTTCTGGCAGCTCCTCCTTAAGCCGCATCGCATGCGTGTGCACCTCGCTTCCTTCAAGCTCCTCTAGCTCCTGTTCCGCCCAAAAATTTGGCAGTGCCATGGACTCCAGGCTGGGAAGTTGCTTCAGATGCTTCGATGGCTCATCTTTGGATGCTTCGACCATAAGGTGGACCAGGATTGCCTCTTTCTCGCTGAGGTCCTCCAGGCCCAGAGAACTCCTGGCGTTTGCGGCTGTCCAGCAATGCTCCAGAGGAACTTCAAGCAGAACGTCACCTTCCTCTGTGTCCTGTGATACAGCAACACCTCGCCCGGTATCCTCGAAATTCTTCAGAACTACAGCGCTGAAAGTTGCAAGCTCCATGGCTGATCGTCTTGATTGCGCCCTTTAGTGCCTTGCCGCCACAGGTGCTCACAGCTGTGCGACCGTGATGGGGATACACATGATCGGCATTCTTAAAAACATTTAGAACCTTGGTGCTACAGAAGTAAGGGTTGCTGACAAGCGCGGGAGTTGTGGATGATCAGCCTTCTAAATGTGCACATGTTGTAGCTCTTCTTCAAAAGCCTGATGGCTGGTGAAACGGGAATTTGCATTCGACTTCCCCAGGCAATCTATGTCTCCTGACTCCTGCCAAAGCTGGGGGCTGTGCCCTTTGGAGTGAAGGAGGAGGAGCGGCGGCGCTCAGTGGTCGTCGTGAGTTCCTGGAAGCCAAGGCACGAGGGTGCATTCTGCACAAAGGCAGCGCCCAAATGCCAAAGGTATGCTTCTGCTGTGGCAGACGGATCCTTCTGGCGCTGAGGCGTTGGGGGCAGCAAACCTCAGCCAACGGTCAGTGACTGACTTGCCTAATCTTGCCCAGCTTGTCATTCAGTCCCTCCGCAGTTTGTGTAAAGCTTGCTCGTAGACCTGTGCCTGCACGATCATGTCAAAATGTGCGATCATGCCCGCAATGCCTGCACGCTGTCAACACAACGCACACAACGCTTTGCTGGCGCCCTCTAACCTTCAGGTAGAGGCTTCGCTCGATGCTCGCAATAACTGAGCACCCGACTGCTCCAGGCAGCCACTCGCCAAATATAGATCTTCCTCTGCCAGTCCAAGACTTGCAAGGATATCTTAAGGCGTCCGCAACACTCGGACTTCTATTCGGTATATAAGAAATCAACGAACACAGCAATCAAACCTTTGCTAGAGCTAATGCATTGCCTTAGCCGCGTGCAAAGGTGAGGTATCCCCATAGCCTGAAATGCTAGGCTGCTTATTGGGCGGACCCGCAAACTTGCCTACCCGGGATACTCTCAACCCTAAGCCCTGGCCCTGGGGGCCCTAGACTGAGGAACACTACCCCTTGAGGTCCGGGCCGTGAGTCCAGGTGACGCTCATCCCGGGTGCCTTGGACCTCGGGCCACTCCACAAAGTTTCTCAAAACCCACTTACATGATCCTACATGCATACACTGATGCCCGTACTTGCACCTGTTCTGCAGCAGTTCGCTCCTGCAGTCCAACACATGGCCTCAATGTGCTGGGGCCTTGGCATTCCACTCCTCCTTGTTCCGCAGCAGGTACATGGTGATGTAGATTGGCCTGCACATCCGAATCTGCTGAGACTCAGGAGGCAAGGTAGTGTTGTGCAAGGGCCAGGCGGGTGAGTCCCGATCTCGTTGAGCTTCACCTCTGGGATGACACCTCTTGCTGGCCTTGGCTTCGCTAACTATGAGGTTCTCTTTGAGGGGTACTGCTATCTACATGTAGCCGGTAGGAATTCCCAAGCTGTTGACACTCTCCAGCCGACGGCGTCGACGAACTGAGCAATGCACCAGAAACCTCAAGTCTATATTCAAGCAGGTGCTTCTCAAAAATGTGGGTGCCTTTTCGCTGGCCAATGTTTTAGGATGATGGTCTTTGGGGTGCATATCATACACAGGTTGAAACACATCCACGTAGCAGGGTGAAATCGCTTTCTGAAAGATCGCCGCGATCTGCAAGCTTTGCTGGATGGCTTCTCTTTGCAAATTGCTACAGCGGCAGCTGCTGTCCTTGAATACATTCTGGACATGAAGACAATTAGACGTCCTCAAGTATTTTTTGACTGCGACATGATACGGCAACAAGGTGCAATCTGCAAGTTACAACTTCTTGCAGTGGCGTCCTTGTGGGCACTCGCCAGGCGTAAGCAGCGCAAGATATGCAGGGTTCTCCCGCTCAGAGCTGAAACTTGACACGATTAGACTTTGAACCCTCACTGAATCCTCAAGGCCCGAGAGGCTAAATGCCTGGAGTCCTACGGTCCCCTGAAGCCCGCAACACCCCAGGAGCCACAAAGCGCCCAGCCAGGCCCCTCAGGAGAGCGCCAAACGTGTATGTTTTTTCAGGCTGGAACTCGAGGCCTGATATCACCTGTTCAGGATAGTAGGGTCGGTTGATGATCCTTTCTTTCCTATGGACACTGCCAAAAAAACTATGAATAACAGCAGTGATAATCAGGACAGAGCTTTGGCGAGCGCCTCTTGCATGCGCTTGCGGTCCTGGGCCCGGATTGTGCCGTAGGAGGAGAAGTCGGCATCCTTGGGCATGCTACATGGCATGCCACATGGCTTTAGAAGAATAAGAAGCAAAAGAAGTAATAGCCATGGTGGCGGCGGCGGCGATGGCGGCCGCGGGGGGTTGCTGTTGCTGTTGCTGTTGTTGCATTTCAATGCGTGAGCTTTGTTGGCAATTCCTGCATTTACCATCTTGGGGGCAAACATGAACCCAGGAAGTCTTGACAGCTCCACATTTTGGGGATGCCCAACCCTGCAGGTAGGACAGCGGGCAGCTTTTTGTTTGATCTCCAGCCTGCCACTTCAAGCTGCATCAAAAGCCGTTGCATCCTGTGCAGTCCATCTGCATTCCAAGTCAAGCAGAGATGTTTTCGGGAACTTTTGATGGACATGAAATGTGGCAGCTCTCAAAATTCTGTGCGGACAGCCTCAAATTTCTTTCAGTAGCACCATTGCTCTTCCTCTGTTGAGCTGAAAGCACAGAGCAGATCAGAGCGGCTGCTTTCGCTGCAGGGACAGTTTGCAGGACCAGTTGAAAGATTTCCTCTCCCAGAGTCAAAAAGGCTTCAGGAACCTTGGGCTCACTACGAAAGCAAAAAGGCTTGGGAAAAGGAATCCCGTCGATCCAACGGCCCCCACGCCATCTGACAGTGGCCGCCGGGTCGTGCAAACTGCCGGGCAAGGATCTTGCACGGGTTCGAGCTTGTCACTGCTAATTTGAGGTGGAATTTTCCGGCTCTGCACAAACAGTCTGTAAACAAGCTCGGCCCTCCATGAGGCTAAGGGTTCCCTACTCGTGAGGGATGGAATGCATCACAGGCTTCGGTCGAGCATCAGATGCACTCTTCAGGTCAAAAAAAAGCCGCGACCTCAGAGCTGTAGCGGCTGTCGTCCATAGCGGGTCAGAAGCAAGAACCCCTCCTATTGCCAGCCCATGGTGTATACTTCCAAGAATCATGTGTGTCTTGGGCACTTGGGGTGCTCTAAGTTTTTGAGGAACACCAGCACAAGATAGCAGCAACAACCATCTTGTCCGCGCCTCAGGGCGCAGAAGCACATCGCGAAAGGCGCCTTGCAACCAAGAACGCGAATAAGCCAGGCGCGTTGAAGCTAGCCTATTCCACAGGAAGAATATGGCGAAAACATTGCCTCCTGCAGTTGAAGGGTGACCGAGAACCCACGACAATGTGAAGATGCGCAGAAACCTCCTCCAACTAATCCGATTCGCTAGTAGAGTAACTTCACCAGGGGGGGTCCAGAACTTTTTTTTGTAAGCCGTTGGACCACTAAAGATTTGGTGTTGCAAGCTGCTAAGGCTTGTTAAGGCCTGCTTTCAATCGCATAGCCAAACTCCAGGAAGGTGTTTCTCACTCGAACGAAGATCTCCTGCTCTGGCACATCAGAAATGAAATCGGGCTCGTCAGCGCTAGTGACGCCCTGGCCAGAATCCGTGGAGGCATCTGCATCGTGCAAATCGATGCAGGTCGTTTTCGCGTCTGGCACCCGCGGCATCCGCAGCTCGTCCACTCCATGCGCGTATCTGCAATGATTGCCTTTCTTGCAGAGGCCACTTCGCTGGAACTTTGAGCAAAGGCTTGTCTTGTAGAGGTCTGGAACCGAGAGGAGCTCCGACTCATCGTGGGCGAAAGTACAGCTGTCTCCACGGTTGCAAACACCTGGCCAGGCACAAGGCGGAGCAGATTTAACTGGCCAGCACCCCTCGATTGCTCTGAGGTCTAGAGTCTAGTCAGTCTAGTCTACACTTCAAAGTTGACATCCGAAAGCAGGCTTGCGATGGCACGGCCTGCACGATAGAATTTGCACATGATGGTTCGCTGGACCAGCTCCATCAGCTTTGATTTCTGCACCTGCACAGTCATGAGTCATGTTTCTGCAGCGTGGTGCATGTCAGGGCCCATGTACGTCTGTGTAGCTGTTCATCAACGACCAATTAAACAGAATGGTAGAGGCCTTGTAATTGATTCAGGGTCTGCTACCTGCCTTCCCCTCCGCACTGTAATTCTTGCTCGGGGCTTTCCTGGACATTTGGCGCATTCCACGGGCTTCAGCACTCCTGAGGAGACAGCAAGTTCTAAAATTTCGAGCCGCAAGGGCTGCAGACAAACGGTCCGTGGAGCAACCCAGACTGCATTCAGAGGACGCAGAAGCACACCTACCTAGCGTGCTGAGCAATGTTGCTGCGAAGAGCTACTCAGACCTGCAGGTCTGAGGCCCAGGCATTCAAGCTGGGCGGTTCATCGCCTGCACACCCAAACAATGCGGACAGACTTTGCAGCTCATCAGAATCACTGGCGCACAGAGCAGCAACGGTACGGTTGTCCATACGTTGGGCGGTTATGGAAAAAGCCTGAGGCTGGATCGGGTTTTGCCATGAGTACGAAATATGTTCGTGTAAAGAGTAGAGGGGCGGAGGAGTGTGCCCATGTTCATGGCATGCACTGCACGTGATGAAGCGCTTCCTTCTTCTGTGATGATCAGTTGGTCCATGACCTCGGAGAAGGAAAAGCAAACGTGTGGGCAGCTAACGGCAAGCGTTTGAGAAGATTCCTTGATCCGAGTTCAAATTGGTGTTGCAATTGCTTCGAGCCCCGGGCCCACAGTGGGAAGGCAATGGTAGGTCGTTCTGCTTCGCCCTGCACAGACCTTGAGTTTGCCGTTTGCCGCGAGCATCCTCATGGAGTTACGTGTCACGAGCATGTTTTGTAGTCCCTTGGCACCCTTCGAACTTCCTCGAGAATCCGCCAAGGCCCCAGGACCTGTGAGGCCGAGGCCTCCGAAGCCTCCGAAGCCTCCGAAGCCTCGAAGTGCTCTGAGGTGCTGACGCCGGGTCTTCTCCATGTGTCTGGTACCTGGCTCCACAGCTCCAGGCCGCAGTAAGACAGCGCAGCTCAATACAGCTTGAAGACATGAAGACCAATGAAGGCATGAAGACCACAAATCTTTGATGTCTTGGCTTCTGTGGCGTCATGCCTACGGAGAAGTACGTGTGCCTAAGAGCCTCTGCAAACTTGCCGGCAATGCATGGCATCGCCCGAGGCGTGCCTGCCCAGGCGTTATCCACGAATCTGTATGTATGAACACTACCGTAGCTGTCCAAGTTTCGCGTTTTTTAACATCATTCTATGTTGGGGTGCTGCTTGTGGATATCATGCTCGGTTCATGATATCTCTCGGCCTAATAGTCATGGTTCTGGGGGGCGTTCCAAAAACATGGCCCCCTTTTGCAGCCAGAGATACAAGCATCCGTCTTGTAAGACCCCCCAAGACAGGGGCCCTGATACTTGGAAACCTCACGTGGGCTTGTCCGCAGTGGCCTCAGAAGTGCAATCACCGACGAGGAGATGTAGCGCTCAACCTGATAGGTCAAGAAACATTTTGCTAAGAGACATCATGGCCTTGCTGACAATGACCGTTGCACTCATGTGCCCTTCTTGCATTACCGTGCCTCTCGCAGCCTGCATCTGGCGGACACCACAATTCCAAGGACTGCTAGCTTTCCAGACGTTCAAGTTCTTCTTTTTTTGTTGTCAGCATGTCACTGGGTGTTCAAGGCTCCGACAGTGCCCACGTGATAGTAGCGGTCTTGCTCGCAGCCAAAGAAGACACCCTCTGCAGACACCTTACCGTTGACACCGGTACTTAAATCCCTCGCTATTTTCGAAAAGCTCCGTCTTGCATGTGCACGCGATTTAGATGTTCATCTTCTTGAGGGAAGCCCTCTCCTCAAAATGGCCATGTCTATCTTGCAGCGACCACCCCCCTTGGCAAAATGAGTCCAGAGGCAAATCATGTATCAGTGCAAGTAGTCATAACGCTGTACACAAGTTGATTCCGCTTATGATTTGCAGAATCAGAACTCACGTGTTGGTACTGCATCCGGATTACCCTACACATCGCCAAGAAAGAAAGGGATCTGCGCTATACCTGAAAATTCAAGGGCCGTGGCGGACTCTCGGAACTTCAGCTGCAAGCGGAATTCCCACAAGCGTTTCCTGTCGTCTCGACAGTCACTCCACTGTAGCTTTCGAGAAACGGGCAGGGTGGGCTTGCTTAGGTACGCTTTGTAGGGTGAGCTGCCAAAACCCCAAACCGGAAAAACCATGGGCAATTTCAGATCCTGCTATGCAGATGATCCGCGAATGGGTAATCTCCGGACTTCATGCGCTCGGCATCCTCAGGTCTTTGGATTCAGGCGAGGCATCGTGGATTTCTGAGGCTTGTCCAGCTGCAGTCTGTGAGACTTCGTGATGCTCTCGGCTTCTGCTCTGAGATCCTGGCATCCGTGGGCTTGTGGATACCTTGCACAAACAGAGGCGCTTAGCCCAAACGGGACTCGTGGCATAGAGGTAAGACGCAAGCTCAGAACTCTGAGGCATCTGCAGAGCCAGGATCCATGACAAATTCCACTATCAAACTCCGTGGGCTCCGTCTCGTAGGAGGCTGCAAGGCACAGATGCGTCCCCCCTTTCAATGGTAGCTTACCTGGGGTCTTACCTGAATATGGGCTGTTCCTTTATCAAGTGAAGAGCAGAAGTTGGTGACTGGCATGGGAGTCCATCTAGAAGCAATCCCTTGATTCCACGCGTATGAACCTATGGTCCACCGATGTACCACATTTGCAGATGTCACAGAAAACCCCCAAGCTCCGCGCGTGCCCACTTTCCCCGCGGGCCGCAGGGTGTGGCATTGGCTACGATGAGGTGGCCGGACTGCATAGGACACAGGCTGCTCAGTTTTGAAGTGCCAGATCGGCTTCGATACTCCTTCTTACTTCATTGTACACGGCAAAGTTTGGCCCGCATTGGGGTACCCTTACGCAGCCAAATGATGCTTGAAGGTTGACAAATGCAGCGACTGCTTCCCTAAGCGAAAACCCTCAAGCTCGCTGCCTACCTCTTTGGCAGAAATCTATTCAACGCTGGGATGCACATGAAAGTTGAACGAACTAGCTGATTGAGCTAGGAGCTCCGCATCGCTAGTCTCACTCCTACAATCACAAGAATCAGTACTCTGCCATAAGGACTATGATAAATAGCATGATGACACCCAACAAGTCCAGGAGCCCCACCTCACTCCCAGGTGCAGGCTGGGAATCTACACTCTCTTGCTCGGCCTTCCAGGGCGGTTCAGGTTCAAGGGGCCATGTTGCAAGGGACTGATCATTTTCTGCAAGCAAACCCCGACTTCAGGCTGACAAGTTCTAGGGTAGCTTGGTGACTCAGAGGAGCTTTTGAAAGATTGACGTGCAGAACTGTGGGAAGTTTCAAAGGGCGAGTGGATCAATCTACTGGCTTCAGTTCTAGCATGGTAAATCTGATTACAGCCCCTGTTGCTGTCGCGATATCTTTCAGTCCTACCATCATACCGTCACCAATTCGATCACTATTGCTGCTTGGCTTTGGCAGCACGATGAGCCCTGAACCCTAAAGTCTACATCCCCATGTCTTCGATTGGCATGCCAAGCTGGGCCCGCCTCCCGCTGCCTCCGTCCCCTCCATATCTTCGAAGCAGACGAGACCACGAACCAGAGGGCCAGGAGAGCGAACTGCGGGTAAACAGCAGCGTGATGCAATTTCTGCTGTCTGATGTGCTGACGATAAATGGGTGGCTGATCTTGGTAATGTATGTGGGCTTCTATCAGAGGATATAGTGGGCGCTACACCAGACCGGCATTGAGAAGCCCATGGCCCGTTGGCAGTAGCAATATCATCACGAGTCTGGGATTTGCAAGTGAGAGTGAGTCTTACCAAAATCACATGAAATCCGTCGCAGAAACGGGTACTTGTCAGTTTTTGGGCTGACTCTTATAATTGAAATGACGCAAGAACCATTCGGATGAAATCCAAAATTCTAAGCTGGCTGTCGCAAGGATTCGTAGACATCAGTCGCCGTGGCGCCACTGACCGGTCACCAGTGACAAGGCTTCAGGTTCACAGCTGACTCAACTGCAACTGCCCTGGGCAGTGCATCTGACGCTCATACCACAGTTCGTCCCCCATGTCAAGGACAACATAATGCAGTGGCCTCGAGAATGACCAGCATAGCGCAGTAGGGCAGCCACCTCACACAGGTGTACCGAAGCGAAATCAGACTGCTGGCCCTAATCTGGAGAACGCGGCAAACCTCAGGCATCCTCAGGCAATGGCCAAGGAGCATCACCACTAACATCTTCAAGCACCACCGCCATGCCTAGGAGTTGATTTCAATGGATGTGTCTCCTTAGCCTGCCCGGCAATGGTGTTCCTGTTTTGCAGGGTTGCCAGTTTCTTGGGCCAGCGACTGCGGTGCCGTGTTGCCGCGACGTCCAACAAAAAATCAGCTTGTATCCTTTCTGGCCATTGCAACCAGCCTAGCATGGCCTAACAATCGCAAGTGCCAATCAGTGAAGCACTGCAAGCCACAGTGCCTCTGCATCCTCGTCCATTGGAGCACCTCACGTGCCCCTAAATTGGCCCAGTAATACAGAGGACTAGGAGGACTAGGTGACTGGCTCTCCAAACGAGGTCTCAGGCACAGGCTGAGAGCCTGCTTGTGAAGCTCGTAAGCCTTTCGAGCGCCCTCCGGCGAGTAAATGCTGTCGTCCTGCTTCAGCTTCCAAGAAAGCATCGACCGCTACAGCCAGGTACCGCAAGCACATACAAGCACATACAAGCACATGTAAGCAAATGCAAGCACACAAGTTCAAAGAAGCCTCTGAAGGCTCTGGTGGTGGGCCAGCGTCACCTGAAACATGCTCCAAGCAAACCATGGCAGAGAACCCAGCAACCAAGAGCCCGACCGTCGGTTGGCACGGAGATCGTGGCGGGCGGTACCGAGGAGTGCGTCGGCTGGTTGGCCGTCGATACCTCCACACAACATTCCACAACTCTATCGACCTCAAACAAGCGCGACACCAAAATGAGATTGGTCACCCGCCTGCGTGCTCGCCGGCACCGATGCCGTGGCGCTTTGGGTCACAGTTCTTGTTGCTGTGGCTGTGGGCGCCGACTCCGTGGGCATCAGCGTGGGCGTCGCAGCTCCATGAAGCGCCGGCGTCCAGCCTGCAACTCTGAAAAGGCCCTGTTAAAAGTACCCTGCAAACATGTGGGACACAGCCTAGAAAAGGAAGGGCTTCGGGGGTTCAGGTAGAGTAAGCCTCTGCCCTGAAAACTGAAACCCTGACACTTGATATCTTGCAAGCTTTGTATTTACCCAGACTTCCAACAAGAGCAGATTGGATGAGGACCTTCAAACATGAAGCTCACAAGAAAGACCTGCCATTGACTTGCCCTAAATATGGCATGAGGCTTCAAGTTCAGGGCTTTGTGGGGACGCCCAAGCACCTCCGTCCACGGTCGGCGTGCGCTCCCCAGCTGGCTTTGGCGTCGCCTAGAGACGCAGCGCAGTTTGCTTCATGCAGGACGTTTGCCGGTCGCAGCACGCCTCCGACAAGGTGGCGGAGCTGGGGTACCTTCTGAATGTCTCAAGCATCTGTGTAAACAGCTCTGTTGACAGAACATGGCGTACTGAAAACAGTGCTGCTGACTGCTAACCCTGTTTCCAGCAAAGCGTTTGCAGCTCTCCCTGCAATGTCGAACAGGCCAGGCTTGCCCCACATCCTCAGGTCCCAAGTAGGTCCCGGAGCTGCCCGCAATGGAGGCAGATTTGGGCCTCAAGAACCCGAGCTTTGCTGCATGTTGGATTGGAAGCTGTTTCTGCAGCCGTGAGGCGGATGCATGGGTGGCGGTGGAGGAGGCAGTGGAGATTGTAAATTCGTGCCCTCGGCACAGAAAACAAACTTCCTAAGTCCTAAGGCGCTACAGCAACGCTACAGCAACGCTACAGTCGCTACAGCACTGCAGCGGGACCTGCGAAGCTGACCAGCCCGGAGAGGAACTCGGTGGCGGAACATCGCTGGGGCCCAAGTAGTTTGAGCTGCTGCCTGCCGAGAGCCTTGGCAGCTGAGATATCTGTCTGCACTCACTGCATCGCGTACTTGCACAGCTCTCTCTTGGGGCCATGGTGCGGAGGCAGCGGCGGCACAGGCGGCCTCCTGCGAGGAGGTGCTGCTGGCTCCGCGGGCTTCCGGCTGTCCTTCTGAGGCGGCACTGTAGGCTCCGCGGGGCGGCGGAGGTCCCGAACTGGCTGGCCTGGCTGGCCTGACTGGCCTGGCTGGCCTGGCAGCGGCGACTCCACGTAGAGAGGAGACGCCTTGGGTGCTGTCTTGGGCTCGGCAGGCCGTCGAAGGTCACGAGGGGTCTCCATCGGGAGAGGAGAGTCGATATACATGGGAGATGTTGGCTTCTCAAAGGGCTTCTTGGGTTCGGATTTGGGCTCTGCAGGTTTCCGCAGATCTCTGTCCTGGGGAAGCGGGGATGGGATGTACATGGGAGATTTTGGCAATGGGGATGGGATGTACATTGGCGATGATGGAAGTGGATGGCCAGGCGGGCCAACTGGTGCTGAAGATGTCGGAAGCGGGGAGGCGAAAGGTTCCGGGGACCCGGGTGCTTGCGCGAATGGCGGAGATGCTGCAAATGGTGGAGAAGCCATCTGTGGGGATCCAGGCGGGGAACCCGGAAGGGGGGATGTGACCGGTGCGGACCCGGAGAGCATCTGCATGTTGGCCTGTACCTCGGTGGGTGTTGCAATACAAGGCTCCGAGCCAAGCAGCTCGGCGCCTGATTGTTGAAGGAATTCGCCCCAATGTAGTGGGCGAGATGCATCTGCGTCAACCCGGTTTCAGTCCTCAGCAGATTGCAACATCCCGACTTAAGCCACACATCAAAACCCGAAGTTCAAACAAAGGCCAGGCCCCCGTCTGGGCCCGGGATTTCATCCAAGCCTGGACCGTGGCCAGAAACGCCTGGGGGATCGGCACCTCAGCGGCTCTAACTCCTTTACGCGGCTACGACGGCTGCGAGCTACGGCTACGCGGAAGGCCGAAGAAAGGCACCTTGGAGGTGACGGCGGTTTCCAGGTTGCTGGCCACCTGGAAGAGGTTGCCAGTCCTGAGGCCATGGTGACTAAAGTCGGGCAACCCAAGGGGGGTGAAAGGGTGGGAAGACAGACATTGAATCTCAACTTCTCACTCAAACGTGTTGCTATCCCTTGAAATGCCACGCGAGAAGTAATGGGTCAGCCACAGGAAGCTCTTGGAATTTGAGGGTCCTTGAAGCTCAGAAAGGCTGAGCCCTCGGCTTCATCCCCATGACAATCTGGCCCATGTAGTGCCTCTGGCCTCCCGCATCCAAGGCAGCTTTGAGCACGCGCGAGACTTTCTGAGAATGATTCCCGTTACAGTCTTGGAGAAGTATCTACCATCTCCAAAGGCTTCTGTCTTCCTGCAGGGTCCCGTCCCCCCTCTCGCTTCCGGCACCCGAAAGCTTTGATGAGTACGAAGCTCTCACTTAAAATCAGCATGCTCATGGGCATAGGATGACCTCAGTGCCTTATCACATAACGGGAGCGGCTTCAACTGTTCGGAAACGCACGATCACAGTGCCCGGCGTTCATCCACCGGTGCAGGTGTCGACGGCGGCGGAGGCGGCGGCGGCGGCGTTGCTCCTCACGAATCGTTGAGAGAGGAACTGACTTGAGAAGAAAAACTCTCCGAGGCCTCCTGCACCAGATGGCCTTGGCAAGGTGTTGGGAATCTGTGCAGCTGCATTGTATGTGCAACCGTATGCTGACTCTGGAGCCTATCTTTTCTCTCACAAGACCAAGGTCAGAGCATAGATGCCTGAAAAGCAGGCAGCATGGCGGCGCCTGTCCATTGCAGACCCCACTCCCCGGCCAAGCCCGCCCTCGCCTTCAATTTGGTAGGACTTGCTTTTTGTTGAAGACACTTCCATGGGCAGGCGCAGCTCCTCGACGCCACGCTGGCCCACCTGCCGGGTTGGTGAACTCGTCTGGGCATGTCTGGACCTAACAGGACAACTCCACCTAGGTAGCGTTCCCGCCCTGATGGGCAGTCGGCTTGTGACGGTAGGTGGCTGTATAAGTCGAATGAGCTGGATGCCTGAGGCCTGGCTGGGCCTTGCACCCGCCAAGATGTTATTGATGCTTGATTGATGCTTGCTCTGTGATTGGAACCACGTGAGACTGTCTCCTGAAAGCCAGCTAATGTCACCTTTTGTGGGGCTGGGGCTGAGATGCATGTAGGCACGCCTGGCTGCTTGAACCAACTGCCACCAGCATGTCGTTCCACTTCCATTTGTTTTGCACCGCGAAGTGCAGCTTGAAAATGCATGAAACTCAGGTTTTTGCCTGGCTGTTCCGTGGCTCTGGCTGCAAGGTCTCATGGCATTGGATGACGAATTCTGTGAGACTGGAGGATCATTGCCGTCACAAGAAGCCGCACAGAAGACCTCGGCTTGTGACACAACCTCCAAAGAGCACCACCAAACGAGACCACCAACCTCGTCTGCGACCTGCCTGCCACAGCTGGCAGGTTTTGCGGAGCCGGAATTGCCTGCACACTGCCATCCACCGTGCAGCCGTGCAGCCGTGCAAGTCTTGGCCAGCAGCCTGCAGAACGCAAGACTTTCCCAGGGAACGCTGGCCAGGACAACGTTCTCCTCCGGCTGATCATCCTTCTCCTTGCATGCATGATAAATGAATCAGGCTTTTGGGGACCTTAAACAAAGTCCTCCAGGATGGGCTGCAAGCCTGACAGGCTCAAAAGCACACACAGAAAAGTCGAAAAAGTTGAGCGCGGAAGAAGCGACCAGGCTCAGCGCCGTCTGGCGTGTTGCCAGTGACGGACCTGGGGACGGCAATCGCACGTTGCATGGCAATGCCCTATCCGTCATACCAGGACTTCTACCCAATCGTACGCTCTGTGTCGGCCAAGATGTCGGCTGCCTTAAATGGCAGCGTGCGCGATTGCTTGGGCATAGAGATGTCCCTTCAACCGAGGTTCGCCAGGGCTTGGAGGCAGACCGCCTGACAAATGCAGAGCTTCTTCAATCGCTGCATGCAAGAAGCTCCCGCACCTGATCCGTGTGCACCGCCACCACCGACAGCCTCCTGGCACATTAAAGCAAACCAGGAAAGGTGCTGCAAGTCCTCAGGCCCATCTGGAACCTTCACCCGACCAAGTGCCAGATGTAAGCTGTGTGCCAACCTCAGACTTCACAGCTCTGGAAAGCAGATGGTCTTGTCTTGAATGGCTCAGCTTGTGACGAGACCGCTTGGTTGCCACCGTGGCACGGGTACGTGCTCTGCAGGAGCAGCACAGACGGAGGGAATGAGTGGACAAAGCGAAACAGAAACGATCTGCTGCACCTCTATAATGGGGACAAAGGCGTGGGTCAGAACCAGGGAGCGGTCAACATAGTTCTGCACATCCTTCGCAAGACGTTCTGCCATCATGACTCCCAGGGCCCCATCTCCAGACTTTACTGTGCAGGTCAGCAAACACAGTCGTGCTCCGCAGCAACCGATGGTTTGCAAGCACATGAACAAACCAAATTGCAACTTTTTGTCAAATAAATGTGGGATGTAGGCAGAAAGTGTGGATTTTGAGAACGAACAATCATCGTCATGACAGCATCACTGTAAAGGGGCGATAGTCAAAAAGGTACAACTTCTCGTATTGCACAGAAGTTCTGAGCAATTATCCCCCCAGACATCAAGGCATGTCCCGCTTCATCCTCTCAACATGTTTGGGCTCGGCGTTTACATAACTTAAACACCCCTAAAGTACTCCCATATATCATCCCTAATAGCCCCTGTAAAACCCCCTTTACGGAGCTTCAACTATAGCTTATTTTGGCATGGGAAATTCAAGGTGCCGGATCCTTCGCTGCAACTCGCAGACGGTCCACCACCTGGTATGCAGGCAGGTTCAATTGTTGACTCCCGTAGTACTAATAATGGCTAGAATTAATAAGAAGGGTTGGTCGTAGTAGTAGTAGTAGTAGTAGTAGTGGTAGTGGTAGTAGTAGTAGTAATAAAAATAAAAGT